AGGATGATAAACTGGAAAGAACCTTTGTTCCTGAGCATTGGGGAGCTATAATCCTAACCTTGTTCTTCCACCTTCCTTCGTTTACATGAACAAGAAATACACTACTCTTACGTGAAAACTTATGTTGAACTTCACTGTTTCTTGCACTAAGTTTAACCCTAAGTCAATATCTAAGCCTGCAGGAAACATTTGAGAAAGCAACATATTTTCTCCTTTCTATCTAATTGAAATTCTGTGTCCTTTGACCACCATTTCCCCGATTCCTGTGCCACTCCATGCTCCCACCAAGAGCCCCTAGTAAACATCATTCTTTCTACTTCTAAATTTAACTTTTACAATTTCTCATATACTTGGGCATTTGCATTTATCATCCTGTGCCTGGTTTATTTCACTTAATATAATGTCCTCCAGGTTTATCCAAGTTGTTACAAATAACAGGATTTTATTTATTTTTATAACTTATCAGTATTCCATTATGTATGTATACCATGATTTCTTTATTCATCCATTGATAGACACTTAAGCTGATTCTATATCTTTGCTGTTAAAAATGATGTTGCAGTGAACATGGGAGTGAAGGATATCTTCAAGATACTAATTTTATTTCCCTTAGATATATAGCTAGTAGTGGGACTGCTGGATCATGTGGTAGTAATATTTCTAGTTTTATAGTGACCTCTATAGTATTTTCTAAAATGGATGTACTAATTTACAGTCCCACCAACATTGTTCAAGGGTTTTTCTCCACATCCTCACTGACATTTGTTATCTTTTTTATGGAATTTCCATTTTAACAGTTCTGATATTATTTCTTATTGGGGATTTAATTTGCATTTACCTGATGACTAAAAATGTTGAGACTTTCTTCATATATCTGTGGGTGATTAATATGTCTTCCTTTGAGAAATGTCTAGTCACAACTTTTGCCCATTTTAAAAATCAGATTATTTGTTTTCTTACTATTGGGTTTCTTATATATTTTAAATACTAACCTCTTATAAAATGTATGGTTTACAAATATTTTCTCTCATTCTATGCATTTTCACTCTTTTGACTGTTATGTTGGTTGTGCAGAAGCTTTTTAGTTTGATGTAATATCATTTGTCTATCTTTGCTTTTGTTGTTTGTGATTTTGGTTTCCTGTTCAAAAATATCATTGCTCAGATCAATTACATGGAGATTTTCCTTTTTGTTTTCTTCTAGTAGTTTTAGGTCCTATGTTTAAGCCTTTAAGACATTTTGAGTAGATTTTTGTATGTGATGTGAAAAGAATTTCTAATTGTATTCTTTCACGTGTGAATATCCAGTTGTAGCAACATTTATTGAAGATCCTGTTCTTTTTCCATTGTGTGTTCTCATCGATGTATTGTAAATCAGTTGATTACAAATTTATGAATTGGAGTCTCTATTCTGTTCCATTGGTTTATGTGTCTATTTTTATACCATGACCATGGCTCTTTTGGTTTCCTTAGCTTTGTAGCACATTTTGAAGTCAGGTAGTGTGATGTTCCTGCTTTGCTTATTTCACTGAAGATTTCTATTGAGAATCCTTCATGGTTCCAAATGAATTTGGGGATATTTATTCAATTTCTGTGAAAAATGATACTGGAATGTTGATGTGGTTTGCACTGAATTTGTAGATCTTTTTGGGCAGTTTGCACACTTTGACAATATTGATCTTCCAATCCATGAATGTGAGTTAACTTCCCATTTCTCTGAGTTTTCTTCAATTTTGTTCACCAATGTTTTATAGTTTTCAGTATATAGGTATTTAACTTTTTTGGTTGTTTTTTCCTAAGTACATTATTTATGTTTTCGTAACTATTTTAAATGGTATTGTTTACTTGATTTTTTTGGTGGGGGGTGGTGGATAGTTTAATGTTAGTTTATAGAAACACTACTGGTTTGGGGATGTTAATTTTTATCCTGCAACTTTACTGAATTCGTGTATTAGTTCTAATAATTTTTGGTGGAATATTTAGTGTTTTTTATATGTAATTATGTCACCTGAAAACAAGGACAGTTTAACTTTCTCCTTTCCAATTTAAATGCCTTTTATTTCTTTTTCTTTCCTGACTGTTTTTGACTAGGACTTCCATTACTATCTTAAATAGACATGGCAGAGTTAGTGTCTTTTTCTTATTCCTGGTCTTAGAGGAAACACTTTCAACTTTTCACTGGAGTTTCATGTTACCTGTGGATTTCTTGAAGATGAGCTTTGTTATGTTGAGGTATGTTTCTTCTATACATAATATGTTAAGCCTTTTTACCATGAGATGATGGTAAATTTTGTCATATCCATTCTCTGCATCCATTAAGATGATCATGATTGTTGTTTTTCATTCTGTTAATGTGATATATTCCATTTATAGATTTGTATATGTTAAAATATTTTTGCATCCCTGGTTTAAATACCATGTGATTATGGTGAATGATGCTTTAGGTGCACTGTTAAATTCGGTTTGCTAGTGTTTTCTTGAGGAATTTGTCATCTATTTTTATTAGGGATGTTGGCCTATATTTTTATTTCTTGTAATGTCCATGTCTGGCTTTGGTATCAGGATAATTCTGGCCATGTAAAAATGTTTGGAATTATTCCTTTTTCAGTTTTTTGAGAGAGATTGAGAATGATCGGTATTAGTTATTCTTTAGATTTGGTAAAATTCAGCAGTGAAGTAATTGGGTCCTGGGATATTATGATATTTTCTGTTCAAATTTTCTATTTCTTTGTGATTCAGTCTTGGTAGGTTGTATGTATCAAGAAATGTATCCATTTTCTCTAGATTATCTAATTTGTTGGCATTTAATTATTCATATTAGTCTCATAATCTTTTGTATTTCTGCGGTATCTAATATAATGTCACCTCTTTCATTCCTGACTGAGTCTTCTCTCTTTCATTCTTAGTTTAGCTGAAGATAAAATTGTTGATTTTATCTTTTTTAAAAGACATTTCTTAGTTTCATTGATCTTTTCTGTTGTTTTTCTAGTGTGTTTTAATTATTTCTACTTTGATTTTTTTTTTCATTTCTGACAATTTTGACCTTTTTTTAGTTCATTTTAAAAAAGTTGTTTATTTAAGATCTTTTACCTCTGTTGAGGTAGGTGTTTATTGCAGTGAACTTCCCTCTTTGAACTGCTTTTTCTGCATCCCATTAAGTTTTGGTATGTTGTATTTCCATTTTAATTACTTTTTTAGATATTTTAAATTTCTTTTAATTTATTCATTAATACATTGGTTGTTCAGGAGCATGTTGTTTAATTTTTATGAATATGTGAATTTGCCAAAATTCCTCTTGATATTGATTTCTAGTTATGCAACACTGTGGTTTAAAAACATACTTGATATGATTTCAATCTTCTTGAATTTGTTAAGACTTATTGTCTTACCTGTGATCTCTCCTAGAAATATTTTGTGTGTGCTTGAGAAGAATTTGTATTCTGCTGCTCTCGGTCAAATGTTCCACATTTGTGTATCATGTTCATTTGTTCTAAAGTATAATTTAAATATGTTTCCTCATTATCTTTTCTCTGAAAATCTGTATCTGTGTACTGAAGTCCCCTACTATTATTAAATTGTACCCTGTCTCTCCTTTCTATTAATATTTGGTTTATATTTTTAGGTGTTCTGATATTAGTTGCATATATATACACACACACACACACACACACACAGTTGGATAAGTTCTTAATGAATTTGCCTCTGTATCACTATATAATTACCTATTTGGGGTTGGAAGCTCTTAGTAAAATCCTTTTTTATAGTTAGAAGAGACTTGACTTGTTACCATCTATGTCTCAACAGGGAAATCATGTTGTCCATATGCCATTTTCATTATTGAGATGTTAAAGAGGGGTAAACATATTTACCATTAAATTAGCCTAGTTGAATTCTGTACCAGTTGGGATTCCAGAAAACAGTCAACTGATATATAACAAGCATGTGTGCTGTATAAATGGATGATGATTATATACTAAATTTAACTTAGTGTAAGAATTAAATTAGAATTTCTATCTTTCTAACCAATTCACCAATAGAGCACATTGAATAACCAACTTAAGGAAAATTTGAATTTGAATGGAGGATATACCTTTGCTAAATTTTTTTTTTCTCTACCCTAAGGAAATGAGTAAAAAATAGGAAGTATGAAAAATATATCATTTAAAATAAAAAAAGGACATGTATTTTATACACAGAAGTGAATAAATCATGTAGATACAAACACACAAAGATCTAAATGAACTAAGCTACATACTACACGTATATTAGTAGGAAGACTTAGTATCGTAAGTCATAAGTATTGCACATGTATGTATTATGACAAAATGTAAAAAAATCTTGAAGAGCAAGGTGGCATGATATATACTATTGAATATTAACATACATTATCATTACAAATTACAAAATGTTTAAGACTATGTGGAAAAGTCCCAGGGATATAAATTAACAATGAAAAGTAATAGAGAAAGACATATGCGTATTATCATTTGACGTCCTATTTAATTGTGATGCTGGGTCAATTGTTTTCCTATAGAACATAAAAGAAATCCAAATCAGTGTCTTATCTCATGCAAACATATAAATTGTACATTGATTAATAATCTGTGTATTCAAAATCTATGTGTGTAAAACCACATTACTTGAAAACTTAAACGTAGTGTTTTGGGTTGGCTAGGGAACAAGAATCAAAGTGAATGAAATGGATAAGAATTTATTTTAGAGATTAGATCCTTTCACATTTTTTGAAAAGCTAAGATGCTAAAGAGCTAAAAAGAATCGATTACAATATAAGAGACACAATTAACCAAGAACAACACAGTGGTGCTAGTGAAGAAGTCCATGGAAGGTGGTTTTCTTCATTTCTGGTAGTAGACTTGGAGCCACTGTACAGTGGCTGATAGTCAAAAAGGAAAGATGTATGCAAAGTGAGGAGAGTAAGATCAGAAATCATAAAGACAAATTAAAATCTTTTTCTCACTGCCTCTACGCTTGACATGACAGCTGATCAGCAGGAGAAGTTCATACCACTTGAGCTGGATCTATCTGCACATGCACCTGGCCCAGGAAGCTGTAATGGGAGATCTGATGAGCAGTGGAGAACTGAACCAAAGCCCTTGGCTTTTGCTCCATACCAGTCAGGTGAGCCTGCAGATAAACCACAAGATGTGCAAGTGTTTGCTTACTTGCAATAATACTCACAGCTTAATAGCTTTACTTCTGCCTTACAAACCTAATTGAAAACAAAATAAGAAAAGTCTTATTGCCGACCTAAACACAGAAAGGAGTAAGTAAAGGGTTACTACAACAGGAAAAAAGAAATACAAACTATAAAGTTAAAGTAATGAAGTTAACTAAACAAAATTAAAATCTTCTGTTTTTCAAAAGACAACACAAAATTAAAAATACATGCCACAGCCTGCACAATATATTTGCAATACACACACTCATGTAGATTAACAGTTGTAATATAAATTTTCATATAAAGATATGTGCCAAAAGAAAAAAAACAATAGATATCATGAAATAATTGACATATCAGAAGTTGAAAAGTCAGCAAATGTTTGAAAATATACTCAACCTCGTAATATCCAGTTAATATGCTTTGGAAATGTATGTGGTAACCTCAATTCCATGGGATTGGTGAAAATTAAATAGTTGAATGAAACCAAATGCTGTGAATATGTGGAAGAATAGGATACCTCAAAAAGTGGTAAGTGGGAAATCCATTAAAATATGCACTAAGAGAAAATTGGGGCAATATCTAGGAAAGTAAAATATTGTCATAACTTTGGGTCCAGCATTTCTACTCCTGGTTATACGCTCTGCAGACATCATCACCTTTGTACAAAAGTATATTTGTACAATGTTTCTATTTTATCATCATTTGTAATTACAAATATTAGAAAGGAACAATCCTCTGAAGAATAGGAAAGCTGTGCCCTCTTTTGTCCAAGAAATTTTTATGAAATTCCAATATATTTGTGGATATATCAACATGAATAAATTATCAAACATAATATTAAGCCAAAATGCATAAGTACATAGAGAATAGGTTGTACAAGAAAAACAAAAATGAAATTAAAAGCTATTATACCATATATTTACAAAAAATTACATCCTTTCTATGTGTATCCAGTAACTAAACAAAAAATTCAATAAAAAAGATACATTTAAACCTCTAGATGACTGAGCTAGAATCAGGAATCCAATTCCTGAGCTGATCGGGAATCAAATAATAATTTATTTTTAATTTGTAAAATACAATTTGTAGTTCTTTGGGGAGATACAAATGATTGATAAATTATTATTTATGCTCTTTTTAAGTAGTGATATAAATCAGCCAACCTTCTATCATTGAACAGCCATGGAAAACTTGCATAAGCAGTGAGTAGACATTCATGGACTAATTGCATAAATCCATTTCTTTAGCATGAAATTAAGTCTCAAATAAGATAAAGAGCTAAATTTTGTGTAACAATTTATTTAGTGAATTAACTCTTCAAATATACACCCTTACCTCCAACTTATCTTCTACTCCCACTCATCTTCCACTCCCATTCCAACAAAAAAGGGGGAGGGAATAACATGCTAGTGCTGGATTTTAGATCAATTTTCCTTATGTATTCATAGGCATGAGCACCTCTGGAGGGGTTGCTGTAAAACATACTGCTGGGCCCCAACCCTAGACTTTCTAATTCAATAGATCTGACATGCAATGACTTGTATTTCTAACAAGTTCCACATGATGTCCATTCTCCTGACCTGGAGGCCACTCGATGACTGCCACGCCATGAGACCCAGGCAAGCAGCACCAGCAACATAAAGAGCACCATAGGCTTATTAGAAATGCAGAATTTCTGGCTCCAACCCACATCTGCTGCACATGTTTTGTATCATTTATAATATAACAGTGCTTTTTAAAAAATACATTTTTCTTTAACAATAGTTTTCTAATTACAGAAAAATTGTGAAGATAGTGCAAAGAGTTCCTATATATTTGACAGTTTCCTTATGTAGTATCTTATGTTACTGTAGTATACTTGTCACAATTATTGAACCCATACAATATGTTATTAAAGTTCACAACTTATTGCAATTTTCCTTAGATTGTATTTACTATTCTTTTTCTCTTCCAGAATCTCATCATGATATCGTGTTGCATTGAGTAGTCATGCCTCCACAGGCTCTTCTTGGCTGTGACTGCTACGTTTTCCTTGGTTTTGCCCACCTTACCGTTTACAGAAGGTAGTGGTCAGGTATTTGGTAGTGTATCCCTTACTTGGGCTTTGCTTGATGCTTCTCTTCTGAGAAAACTGGGGATATGCATTTTGGGGAGGAAGGCCACAGAGATGAAGTGACATTCTTTTCACATCATATCAGTGCTACATACTATCGAAAGGGCTAATCACTGTTGATGTTAATTGTAATCACCTGGCTAAGATATTCTTTGTCAGGATTTTGACTTTAAAGTTACTCTTTATGCTTTTCCTTCTCAGAAAATGCTTTTTGAAATGAAGTCACTCTGTGCAGCTGACATTTAAAAAGTAGGAAATTATGTTGACAGAGTATCTATATAAATTATGTGCAGTTCTTTTATTTTCAGAGTTTGGAATTATAGCATTCCTATAAATCTTATTACTAATGGCTCCACGAATTGTGCACAACTGATATGTATTAGTGCACATCTTAAAAGCATGTGGGCATGAGCTGTATTTGAAAAAACATTCAGATGGAAGAGCTACCTGTTTTGGAGTGAATCTTAATTGGAACTTAATGATGCCTCCTACTAATTTACTATTTCAGTTGAACCTACAATATCAGCTGTAGCCCAAAAAATATAAGAGCTACAATTCATGCAATTCAACATCAGCTGCCAAGGCCCACCTGGACTGCACCTGCAAAACCAGCTGTGGTTTCTTTGCTCTCACAATTCATGTCAGGGTTTTTCAGCCAATGCATCATTGGTTTCAAATTTTATATTGTTCCTCTCTCAATCCTCCACCCCTCTAGTTTCTAAATAATAGAGAATAATTAGGTGAGGTTTAAACTCTCAGGACTATTCAGGGTTTGTGGAGAATAGGAAGGTTTCTTCCAGGTTACTGCACAATTTTAAGAGCCTATCAAGAAGTATCCAATATTAACAAGTAGAAAAGCAGCATGAGTATGAGGATGGAATTTCCCACAATACTTAGTACATGGAAAAAATGTAGAACATACAAAAAAAAGCAGATTGTAAAAAAATTTCACAAATAAACATAGTTATAAAAATTAATTTATAATTCACGTTTTAAATATTTTTATTATGTTAAAATATATAGTATAAAATTTGCCATTTTAACCTCTTAAGTATAAAATTCAGTGGCATAATTGTATTTACAGTTTTGTGCAACAATCACCAGTTTTCAAAAATTTTCAGCACTCCAAACAGAAACTCTGTCATTTAGTAACAACTCCCCATTTTTTATTCCTAATCCATCCCCCAGTAAACTCTAAACTAAATCTTGTCTCTATGAATCTCCCTGTTCTAAATATTTAAGAGGAATCATACAACATTGACCCTTTTGTGTCTGGCTAATTTCACTTTGCATAATGTTTAAAAGCTTTATCCATATAGTGACATGTATCAGAACTTCATTCTTTTTTTATGGCTCAATTATATTCCACAGTATGCATACACGCCACATTTTGTTTATCCATTCGTCTGCTGATAGACACATGTGGGTTATTTCCTGCTCTTGGTTATTGTGAATAATGCTGCTATAAACACTAGTGTGCATTTATCTGAGTTCATGTTTTGCATTCAACATTTTAAGGTATCACCAAACTGTTTTTCACAGCAGCTGCATCATTTTACATGCGGACCAACAAAGTATGATTCTCCAAATTTCCCAGTTACTCGTCAACTGTTGTTCTCCATTTTCTAACTATAGTGATACTAGTAGGTATAACATGACGTCATTGTGATTTTGATTTGCAATGGCCTAATAACTAATGGTTTTTGAACAACTTTCATGTTGTACTCATTGGCCATTTGCATATCTGTAGCAAAATGTCTATTCAAATCCTTTGCCTGCTTTTAATTGAGTTGTTTTGTCGTTTTGTTGTGGAGTTGTAGGTTTTTAAGTCTTGATATAAATCTCTTACAAGATACATACTTCACAGTACATTGTCTCATCTTTTAAATAAGTTATTTCATTCTCTTACTGATGTTTTTATTATCCAAAGGTTTAACTTTTTAAAACTTGTACTGTGAATATGATATGCCCTGTGATTAACAAATTTAGTTATTAAACAACTTAATCTTTAAAAGTAATTGCATGAATATTTTTGTCCTATTTGTTTCGTTCCTACTTTGTGAACACCAATGATCTGTTTGACAGATTGTCATTTTCCATGTTTCATACGAATTCTTTTTTCTTCTGCATTTTTTTCTTTCTAATCTTTGTGAATGTATTGAATTTTCTTGCCTTGATAGTCTGACTAGAACCTCCAGCATATATATATATATATATATATATATATATATAGTTTGTTTTGAGACAGAGTTTTGCTCTTGTCTCCCAGGGTGGAGTGCAGTGGCATGATCTCAGCTCACTGCAACCTCTGCCTCCTGGGTTCAAGCAATTCTCCTGCCTCAGCCTCCTGAGCAGCCGGGATTACGGGCACCTGCCAGCATGCACAGCTCATTTGTGTATTTTTGGTAGAGACAGGGTTTTTACCATGTTGGCCAGGCTGGTCTCGAACTCCTGACCTCAAGTGAACCACCCACCTCAGCATCCCAAAAATGCTGGGATTAATCTTGAGCCACCACACCCAGCCTCTAGTATAATGTTTAATAATGGATGTGTTCCCAATCTTAGGGGACAAGCAGTTAGCCTTTCATTATTGCATACAATTTTATTCATACAATATTATATATTTTTATTTCTGTATTTTTAGCTTTATTGAGATAAAAAATGTTAAAAATTCAAGAAGCACAACATGTAGATTGCATATATATATCTACATTGCAAAATTATTACAACAAAATTAATTAAAATATCAATCTACTGAATTTATTTTACTATTCACATGTGTGCACTGGAGAGGACACTTAAGATCTACTCCCTTAGCAAATGTAAAGTAAGTAGTACACTATTTTTTACTATAGTCACCATGCTATAATTTAGATTCTAGAACTTACTCATAAGTAAAAGTTTGCACCCTTTGACCACAATCTCTTTATTTCCCCCATTTCCCACCCTTGGCAACCACCAACCACCATTCTACTCTCCGCTGTTATAAGTTATATATATATATATATGATTCCAAGTATAAGTGAGATCATACAGTATTTGTATTTTGTGTTTGGCTTATTTCATTTAGCATAATGCCCTCATTTTAAAGCTGAATAATATGTCACTGTAATAGACACACACACACACAACCATTTTGGTTTGACTTGCTTTTCTTTAAAATGTAAAGTTAGGTTATAAATTTAAGATTTTTCTTCTTTTTTAAATTTGTTGGTTATAGTTAAAATATCTAAGTACTGCATTTTCTATGACACATATGACTTCGTATGTGATGTTTTTACTTTCATTTCTCTGGAGATATTTTCTAATATTTTCTAATTTCCCTTGTGCTTCATTTGATCAATTTGTTTAAAAGTTTGTCATTTAATTTTCATATATTTGTGAGTTTTCCAGTTTTTTTGTTACTAATTTCTGGTTACATATTTTTGTGTTCAGAAGGAAAATACATTGTAATATTTCAATCTCCTTAAATTTGTTAAGGCTTGTTTTATGGTTTCAGTTGTGGTATATGCTGGAGAATGTTCTATGTAACTCTTTCCCTATCTAGAACTTCCAGTTGTATGTTGAATAAAAAATGTGTCTTCTGTGTTGGGTGGAATAGTTTGTGTATATATCTGGTACGTTTAATTGGTTTATTATATCATTCATGTCCACTATTTTCTTATCGGTTTTCTGTCCATCTCATTAAGAGACATCCAAGTGCTCTTTTGGTGACTGTTTTCATGGGCTATTTTTATATTATTTTACTTTCAGCCTCTTCTTTGCATCTAAAGTAAGTTTCTTGTAGGTGGCACATACAGATAGATCATTTCATTAAATTGTTCTACTAAACTTTGCCTTTTAATTGAAGATTTAATGCATTTTATTAATTACTTATCAAAAAGGAGTTACTTAGCATTTATCCATTTATGTTTGTCGTATTTTTTTTTCAATTTTTCAATTTCATTTTTGTAACTAGTTGATATTTCTGTAATGTACCACTTTGATTATCTCCTTTCTTTTATGTGTGTTTTAATTTTGTAGCAGTTACCTTGGGGATTACAATTAAGATCTTACATTTATAACAACTTAGTTTTAATTATATCAACATTATTTCAGCAGTATACAGCTTCTATACATCTTCATCTACCTCTTTATATCGTTATTGTCACTGACTACATCTTTATACATTACATACCCATTGACGTAAGTTTATAATTATTGTTTTGTACTTTTTCTTTAAATTCATATAGGAAATTAAGAGGAGTTTCAACCCCAAAGTTTAGTAATATTGCCATTTACATTTACATATGTAATTACCTTATCATTTTTAAAAAATTATACAGACTCAAGTTGATGTCTAGTGTCCTTTTGTTTCAGTCTAAATTCTTTATAGGGCAGGTCTACCAGTAATAAACCCTCTTATATTTAGCTTATCTGTGCATGCATTAATTTATTTTCATTCTTCAACAAGATATAGATATATAATATGGCTATAATTGTTTTACATTAGAAAATTGTGCAAGTTATAGAATTATTGTCTCTTTATTTTTCTTTTACAAATTTCTTTTACAACTTTAAATATGTCATCCCACTGCCTTCTGGTCCCCATCATGTTTGATGATAAATTATCTATAAATTTTACCGGGGATCCCCCTTCTATGTGAGGATTTGTTTCTTTCTTGCTGCTTTGAAGATTCTATATTTCTCTCTTTGGCAACTTGATTATAATCTTTCTCTGTGTGGATTTTTTTGGGTTTGTCCTAGTTGGAGATTCTTTAGCTTCTTAGGTGTGCAGTTCATATCAGATTGGAGAAGGTTTTGACCACGATTGCTTCAGATATTTTTTCTGGTCCCTTCTCTTCCTCTTCTTCTTCTGAGACTTCTATAAAGTGTAGGTTGGTTCTCTTGTCCCAAATGCCCCTTGAATTCTAATCACATTTTTAAAAATTCATTTTTCTTTCTGCTACTAAAATTGTATTATCAGTTGTTCAATCTTCATCTTCACTGATTCTTAAAACTGTTGAATCTATTTAGTGATTTTTTAAAAAGTTGAGTTATTTTACTTTTGAGTTCTAGAACGTCTGTTTCCTTTCTACCATTTCTAACTCTTCACTGACAATATCACTTTGTTCATAAGTCATTTTTTAAAAATGTTATTTAGTTCTTCAGGTTCTTGAACGTGTTTGAAATAGTTGATTTAAAGTCATTGTTTAGTAAGTTATTGCCTATGATTTCTCGTGGACAGTTTTTGTCAATCTGTTTTTTCTTTTATTTGTATATACTTAAGGGGTAAAATTTCAGTTTTGTTATGTGGCTATATTATTCAGTGTTGAAGTCTGGCATTTTAGTGTAAACGATCATCACCCAAATAATGTAAATTGTGCCCATTAAGTAATTTATCATCCCTTACTCTTCTCCCACCCTTTCACCTTTCTAAGTCCCCAGTGTCTATTATTTCACACTTTATGCCCATTTGTGCATATTATTTAGCTTCCACTTTTAAATGAGACCATACAGTGTTTGAAGTTTAGTTTTTAAGTTGTTTCACTTAAGATATTTCAGTTCCATCCATGTTGTTCCAAAATACCATTTTATTCCTTTGTATGGCTAAATAGTATTCCATTTCATGTGTGTGTATTTATGTGTGTATTATATTATATATACCATATTCTCTTCATCCATTGAAGGATACTTAGGTGTCTATGTGTTATTGTAAATATTACTGCAATAAACATATGAGTGCAGGTATTCTTTAATACATTTTTTGTGTGTGTGTGGGATACCCCATAGTGAGATTGCTGGATTTGTTTCTCTGAGAAATCTCCATACTGTTTTTCAAAGAAGTTGTACTAATTTACACCCCACCTGGTATATAAGCATTCTTTTTCACTGTGCACCTTGCCAACAAAATTTTCTATTCGGTAGTAACAGACATTCTGACTAGCGTGAGCCAGTACCTCATTGTGGCTTTAATTTGCACTTGTCTGATGATGAGTGGTGTT